CATTTTTATTACTATGTGTCTTGGTGTGGGCCTGTTTCAGTTCTTCTTACTTGGGGCCTGTGTGCTTCTTGAACTTGAATGCTTTCTTTCTTCACTAAATTAGGAAGGTTTTCTGTCATTATTTCTTAAAATATATTCTCCAATCCTTGCTCATTTTCTTGTTCTTCGGGGACTCCTATGATACAAATGGTATTACGTTTCCATTTGTTGCACAGTTCTCTTAAGCTGTGTTTCTTTTGTTTTAATTGTTTTTTTCTTTTGGTATTTTGATTGGTTGATGTTTTTTTACCCTATTTTTTATTTCAATGATCCCTTCCTCAGCTTCCTCTACTTGCTATTTAGACCTTCCAATGTGTTCTTTATTTCTGTTATGTCATTCTTCATTTCTTCTTTGTGGTGTTTAATTTTCAACTAATTGGTTTTCAACATTGATATCTCTTCACTGATGGTGTTCATGTCCTTACACATGTTGTTGAGCTTCCTCAAGATCATGGCTCTGAATTCTAGTTCTGTTAACTTGCTTAACTGCACTTCATTTATCTCATCTTTGGTAGAGGTCTCTTGTTCTTGCAGTTGGCTTTTGTTTTTGTGTTTCACTATTTTGGCTATCATAGTGGGCTTTGGATCCTGCCAGATATTCCCTGTGTGTGTTGGTGTTCTGCTGTTTGTGGCTCTCTCTCTTCTGGGTTTGGATGAGCCAGGGAAGACCCACATTAAACACCACTGTGTAGTCTTACTTTCCTGGTTAGAGTTGGTAGCCCAGGAATGGTACAGTTATCCTCTAGCTTTTTGCCTGAAGGTTATTAGTAGCGGTTACCTAAAGAGCCTTGGCTCCTCAGTTGAATGAAAAACTCCTTCAGGTGCTTATTGTAAGGGGATTTCCCGAGGGTGGGGCAGATGCTGGTTGTTAATGAGCCTCAATTTGCTTTTCAATGGCCACTGTGTGGGGTTGAATCGCTGAGGGAGGGACCGCTGCCTCTCCCCAGAGCTTTGGAAAGGGTAAGTTGGCCACCATCCTGCATGGCTGCAACTCTGCAAAAGCTCTGAGTGTCCTCCAAATCCCGAGTGTCCCCATACAGTTCCAGTCCAGTCTGTCCTCTTTCTGCCAGAGCCCAAAGAAAGTGGCTGTGGCTATTTTAGCCTCTGTCCTTGCTCTGCACTGTGGAGCTGCTTGGGCATTTAACCTGAAGGCGTTGCTCACAGCTAAGGCCTCTGCCAATCATGGGCTCCCAGCCCCCCTCTCGTGTCTCTGCAAGCCTACCAGGATTGAGTCATTGTTCCTGGCTATGTGGTCCTCCAAGCTGCTTTTCTGTTGTTTTTTCCTGACAATTTGTCTTTATTTTCATTGTAATTTTAGTTTGGTCCTGGGAGATGGTCTGTGTAGCTTCCATTCACTCGACTGCCATTTTAGAATCTGTAAATTATTCTATATTTCATTTTGTATATCCTTCATTTCTGACTGGTCCTTGTTTTTTATTTTTTTATTTTTATTTTTTATTTTTTTGCATTTATCTTCAGATAGAGCAAGAGGGAGAAAGGGGGAAAGAAAGAGAAACAAACATTGATGTGAGAGAGCCACATAGACTGGCTGTAACCCACACGACCTCAACCGGGGTTGAGAACAAACTCCAACCTAGGTATGTGTCCTTAGCAGGAACCAAACCTAGGTCTCTCTGGACTACAGGCTGACTCTCTAAACTGCTGAACCAAACTGGTCAGGGCCTTTTGTATGCTCTTGAGGTTCTCAATATGTTTCTTAAAATTCCCATCAAGTTACTTGAACATTATTATAACCAGTGCTTTGAACTCTGCATCTGTTATATTGTTTATCACCATTTTGTTTAGTTATTTCCCTAGAGTTTTGTTCTGTTCTTTCATTTGGGACATGTTTTTTTGTCTCCTCATTTTGGCTGCTTTCTTGTGTTTGTTTCTATGTATTAGGTAGAGTTGCTATGTCTCCTAGGCTTCCTTGGATGACTTATTACAACAGTTGTACTGTAGGGTCCAGTGGCACAGCCTCCCTGATCACCCAGCTGGGCCCTTGAGGTTCACCCCTCATGTGGAATGAATACTATTCTGTTGTAGTTGAGTCTTGATTGCTATTGGCACATCAATGGAAGGAATTTACTCAGGCTGGTCAGCTTCAAGAACTGGCTGTGCACACTGACCACTAGCCTCTGACTACTTTGGAGGATCAGCTGTGCAGGGACCAACACATAAAGCAAGGCTTATTTCAGCATGGATCTGGTAACCACTGAGTCCATTCCTTGAGTGTGTCACTTGCAGAGGTGGTTGGGTGGTTGTGCTTTGCCATGGTCTGAAACTGCCCACTTGGTGTGCTGGCTCTGGGTCAAGGTCAGCCACTGTCTGTGTTCTACTTGGGGTCACTAGGCATGCACTATAAAGAAATTTACAAATGGCTGCTTTTTGTGCTGGTCTTGGAAGTGCCCAGGATAAACCAAGCTGTGAACCAAGGCTGGCTATTTCTAGTGCCAGGCATGGGTCCAGTTAGCTAAAGGAAGGGTGGTCACTGAAGCCAGGTGCTATTTGTTTGAGATAATTTAGGAGTATATGAAGCAAGAGCCAAGATAGGCCAATTTTATGGTAAAGCCACTGGAAACAGCTTCGGTGGGCCAGACAGTTGCATGGGGTAGGGCCTCAGGGAATCACTAGGGTGCAGCAAACAGTGTGAGCCAGGTTGCTGGAGTCTCATATATGGTGACAGTCTGCTTGGGGCATGGGAGAAGGGCTCACCAAAGAATCAGCTGCCTCCACCAGCACATCTGTCCAGGAGAAAGCTGCCCTACAGCTCTTGCCCCAGTGCTAAACAATTTGGTTCTTGTTGGCATGTCTCTGGTACCTTTCAAGCTGCTTCCTCCATGCTGAAGCCTGGAAAAAGCAGGTCCGTGCATGGCCCTTTAAGAGGAACTGCCTGGGGCTCGAGAATCCTGAGCCTCCCTCAGCCTCAGGTCCACTGGTTTTTTTCAGCCAGAAGTTATGGGGACTTCTCTTCCTGGTATTGGAACCCTGAGCTGGGGTGCCTGATGTGGGATGGGGACCCCTTGCTTCTCAGGGAGGAGTTTCCTAGCTGAGGTAGCCCTTCTGATTTTTATCCTCCACACCTGGGTATGGGACCAGACTGTCTGTGCCTCCCCCTCTTCTACCAGTCTCTATGTGGCTTCCTCTTTATTTCATAGTTGTAGGACTTCCATTCAGCTTGATTTCAAATGGTTCTGAATGATGGTTGTTCTATAATTTAGTTATCATTATGATGTGGTTGTGGGAGGGGACGAGTACTGCATTTACCTATGTTGCCAACTTGACCAGATTACAAATGTTAGCATTTTTATAATTATAGTACAATTGTGAAAACTGGGAAGTTAATATTTTTACAATACTATTAACTAATCTGCAGACTTTATTCACATTTTATCAATTGTCCCACTAACATTATTTTTTCTGGAGCAGAACTTCATTCAGTATCTAACCTAATAAGTGTTTTAAAAATAGAGAGCTCTTCTAGTCCTCTGGTTGTGAGTGTTGATGTAGGTGATTGGGTTCAAGATATGCTACCCCAGAATATGGTACCTTGACATGTTGAATATCTTAAGCTGAAGGAGTCTGAGACAATAGCAGTAGTAGAAAAAGACACTCTGGCCTCCCCACGCCTTTCTGTATTGAAAGCAACAGATAAATCTCCCCTGTGTAAAGTGCCTTCTTTGTAGCAGAAGGGAAACATCTTTATCACTAGAGATGGAAAATTTAGAGCTATGAAGGTTGCACAAACAAACCTCATAACTTCTTTACCATTTACTACCCCTAACCCATGTACATATACAAATTCAACAAAATGTTTGTGTTTTTCTCCTATTAGTCTGCTTTATGTCAGTTTAATTCTTAGGCCAAACTAGAGACCCAAAGAGGGTACAGAAAGAATTTTTCTCTTATATAGGAAGCAACACCCAAACTTCAGGGGTCTGAATGATCAACTTCCTTTTAAGAAAAATATTATTTTAAATTTTTCAATTATAGTTGATGTACAACATTTTAGATTTGGGTGCACAACATAGTTATTTGTAATTTATATAACTTATGAAGTGATCACCTTAATAATTCTAGTACTCATCTGACACTACACATAGTTATTCCAAAATATATTACCCATGCTATACTTACATCCCTATAACTGTTTTATAACCAGCAATTTATACAACTTAACCCCTCTTCTTTTTCATCCATTTCCCCAAACTCTCTCCCATCCAACAACCATCACAACTGCATGATTAATTTCTGAATAAGTAAGGTTGACAGCGTATTCCTCCCTCACAGGGAGGTAGGGATGACCTCACAAAGCTCTGCTGGGGTCATACCAATATAGCTAGAGCCAATGCCAGGGCCTGCAGGCACAGTGAGATCCAGCAGGCAAAAACCTGTGGTAAGTAGGTGGCAGTTAAATAAAGAGAAACTCTAGAGAAGCATAGGAAATATTTGACAGCTAGGTGAGATAGTTGGAACCAAAGGCAGATAAATAGAATATACTTGACTCTGGTTCTATGCCCTTGATTTCTTATATTCCAGTTGAAATATCATGCTCTCCATAAGCCTTTCTCCATTCCCAGAAATGATTTCCCTCTGTCTGATATACCAGGTCTTATTCTATAGCACTGTAAAGGTCTGTTTTGGGGCTTTCTTCCTTAATAGGTATAAAGGTCGAGAGAGGATCTTCCCATCTTGGCAGGTGTTTAGAAATTATACCTGTCTGAAACACCAAATAACCAAATGGATGTGAAAAATGACCTGACCTGGAAATAGGTTAGACAGCCAAGCAGGGAGATTTCTTTGGCTGGTCCTTCAGTCAAATTGTGGGCAGGGCCTTGGAAGGAAGAAGCTCAGGTCTCAGTCTCTGTTTAAATGCAGGCAGCTGTCTGAGAGAGAGTCTGCTGTCAAGGAAGAGTGAGCCAGCCTGAAAGTGCAGTGGATAGGTTTCTGAAGCTGCAGAGATGGGAGTTGAATGCTGGAGAAACCGTCTGCTCCTGTTGGTTGTCCTAGTCCTGGTGGCCAAATTGGGTCACTTTCAAAGGTGGGGAGGATTCCGGGAGAAGTCCACGAGCAAGAAAAACATGAATTCAACACTTAAATTTTTCATTGAAAACTACAACAATGTGAGCAATGACACCTACTTATTTCGAGTAGACAAGCTACTTCAAAGTCATATGCAGGTTTGTGCCTCAGTTCTGCTAAATATGGACAGTGCTACCATTCTTGCCCATTTCTTATATTGAATTTATTGGGGTGACACAGGTAAACAAAATTAGAGTAGTTTCAGGTGCACAATTCTACAATACAACATATGTACATTGTATTGTGTGTTCATCATCCCAAGTCAAGTCTCCGTCCATCACCATTTATCCCTCCATACTTTTGTCCACCTCCTCACCACCCCTCCCCCCAGCAATCACCAAACTATTGATAGTGTCCATGAGTTCTTTTCTTTTTTTGCTCAGTTTCACTTAGCGTAATGCTCTGAGAACCATCCATGCTATTGCAAAGGGTAAGATTTCCTTTTTGGGGATATGGTGTGGCTCTAAGAGACAAGCAAATGATAGTGTCACCAACTGGGGAGTGTCTTCACTTGGAATGGGTGAGCTTCAGAGTGGTTCAGATCCATTCCCCTAGCCATGCTGCCAAAATGTTAGTCTAAGCACTGGAGTGAACTTTTAAGTCTATTACTCTTAGTCTGAAGCAAAAATGTTCCTTGAGGTTATCGATTGTTCTCCCTTGGGAAGAATTGCCTTTTATTCTGAAATGAGGTCCTACTAGAGAGAAAACAAAGGTAATTTTGTTTTCTATTCTTTTAAATTACACTTGACATATAATATTAGTTTCAAGTGTACAACTTGTGATTAGACATATAACTTATGCAGTGATCACCCTGATAAATCTGGTACTACTCATCTGACACCATACATAGTTACATACAATATTGTTGACTATATTCCCTATGCTGTACTTTATATCCCTGTGACTGTACTGTAAGTACCAATTTGCACTTCTAAATCCCTTCACTCCCTTCACCCATTCCCTTAACCCCTCTCCCATCAGGCAATAGTGAAAATGTTCTCTGTATCTATAAGTCTGTTTCTATTTTGCTTGTATTTTTTTTTTAATTTTATTTTATTTCATTGTATTTTTTCTATCACCGCTTATCCCATCTATGCCCTCTTCCACATCCACCCACCACCCTCTACCCCTGCAATCACCCACGCTGTTGTTCATATCCATGAGTTCTCTTTTGTTTCTTTTTTGTTCAATACCCCCCCACCCCATCACCTGAGCAGTCTGCCTGTTCTCTATTACTCTGTCTCTATTTTGCTTATTAGTCATTTTGTTCATTAGATTCCACATATGAGTAAAATCACATGGTACCTGTCTTTCTCTGACTGGCTTATTTCACTTAGCATAATGTCCTCTAGGTCTATCCATGTCGTTGCAGATGGTAAGATTTCTTTCTTTCTTTTTTAATGGCTAAATCATATTACATTGTATATATCTTTATCTTTATTCATTCATATTTATCTTCTTTATCTATTAATCTATTGCTGGACACTTAGGTTGCTTCCATAGCTTGGCTATTGTAAATAATGCAGCAATAAACATATAGGCATATGTATCCTTTTGATTTAGTGTTTTGAGTTTCTTCGAATAAATAGCCAGAAGTGAAGTTGCTGGGTCCTTCTTTATCTCTTGTGTTAACCTTTGTTTTGAAGTTTATTTGATTTGGTATAAGTATTACTACCCCACATTTTTTGTTTGTGTTGCTTCTATTTTCATAAAATATCTTTTTGCATCCCTTTACTCTCTGTATGTGTCTTTTTAATTTACTTCATTTATTTTATTAATAATTTTTTTTTTAGATAGAGTGGGAGGGAGAGAGGGGGGGAAAGAGAGAGAGAAACATCAACGTGAGACACATGGAGTGGTCGCAACCCACAGTACCCCAACCGGGGCGGGGACAAACTGCAACAGAGGTATGTGCTCCTAGTGGGAACCAAACCCGGAACTCTCTGGTCCACAGGCTGACGCTTTAACCACTGAGCCAAACAGGCCAGGGCTTTATTAATATTTTTAGAGAGAGGAAGGTAGAGAGAGAGAGATTGAAAGAGAGAGAGACACACAGCAGTATAAGAGACAAACATCAATCAGTTGCCTACTGTATATGCCCTGACCAGGAATCAAACCTGCTACCTTCAGTGTACAGGATGATGCTCCAACTGACTGAGCCACTCTGGCCAGGGCTGTGTGTGTGTTTTTTTATTTTTATTTATTTATTTATTTATTTATTTATTTATTTATTTATTTATTTTTATTTTTTTTTTTTTTTACAGATACAACATAATTTTATTAGTAGTGATAAATATTTTGCATGCTTGATACATTTTGTATTGTTCCTCTATGAATGGTCCAACATATTCATTCCCATTTTGAATTAGACATTTATCTTACTGATTTATATATTGTCCTTCTATATGAAACCCTTTTCTATCCTGTTTGTGACATTTATTGTAATTTTTTTCTTTTACTTTTAATAATAATTTGACAGCTTTATATGCATATGGAATTTTTCTCTTAATTATGTATTTCATTATTTAATTCTTACTAAGAGGTAACTCATCTTACCCTCTATATTTCTTCTTCTTATTTTTTTTAATAGATTGCTATTTTACATCTATTTTCTTTTCTTCCTCTTTATTTTATTTTTATTATGGTGGGAAATAAATATCTAAATTGATGTTTTCCAAATAACTAACCAATTATTCTAATACTTTATTCCCAGAAGGAGTTACTGAATCTCACTAATTCATGTGAATTTGTAATCACCATTAGTGCTATAGCTTCTGCTAAGGAGACATGCCTCCCTCAAGGCCATTCCCCTTCCTAGGGTGGCCTTCTGTCAATGATTGGTCAGTACTGGGGTATAAAGCTTAGCCCCCTGGCTCCAATTCAGGACCATTCTAAAGGACCATTCCACCTTCAGAGCTCCTTGTGGAGTTGGCTAAGTTCTTCTTATGACTACACCACAGCTCAACTTCTCCTTCTGCTTAACTCTGTTTTGTTTTGTTTTTCCCCTTCTTTTCCAAAAGTATTGACCACTAAAGTATTCCTTAATAAACTTCTTGTTTGTTAATCTCGCCTCAAAGTCTGCTTCTCATGGACACGCAGGCTTGTATTGAATAAATACAGGCATGCTCTGCACCCAAGGATAGGAAGTAAATATTCCTTAGCTGACCCTGGAGAGTGGACTATGGGCTCCCATTGCCCATTCCTCATCTGTCAGCTCACAAACTAGGAGCCAGCAGGCACAGAACCAGGCAGGACAGAACAGTTGACACTACCTATTGTCCTGACACTGACCAATACTCACAAATCTTGTCTTGAGCCTTCAGTAAGTCCAATTGGCGAATGTACTGAGACAGGATCTGAAATTGGAAGAGATGGAAATATCATTTGTACCTTCACTTTACCTATCCAGATCTTAAGAGTCCACTGACAAGACTATTTATTTATTTTTTAAAATTTTATTTTTGTTACAGATGTTTCTCCTTTTTTACCCCAGTGACACCCTCTTCCCCATTCCCCCGACCCCATCCCCGGCTTTATGTCCATGTCCATTGGTTATGCATACATGCATATAAATTCTGTGGATTATCTTCTCCCACCCCTCACTGCCCCCTCTTCTGAGGGTTGTCAGTCTGTACCCTACTTCCATGTTTCTGGGTCTACCCTATTCCTATGTGTGTGTGTGTTTTGATCCATTCAGTCACTGCATGTGTTTTGATTGGATCATTTAATCGATTTGCATTTCAAGTAATTGTTGATATGTATTTAATACCATTTTATTATTCATATTTTAAATCTTTATTTTTCTTCTTAAAAAAGACCCTATAATATTTCTTGTCATACTAGTTTGGTGACAATAAACTCTACATTTTTCTTGTGTGAGAAGCTCTTTTATCTGTCCTACAATTCCAAATGATAGAGTAATCTTGACTGTAGGCCTTTTTTCCCCTCATTTTGAATATTTTGTGCCAATCCCTCTGGGTAAAAAGTTTCTGTTGAGAAATCAGCTGACAGTTTTATGGGAACTCCCTAGTAGGTAACTAACTAACTGCTTTTCTCTTGATGCCTTTATGCTCTGCCTCTAACCTTTGGCATTTTATTATGATGTATGTTTGGGTTTATCTTCTTTGACCCTGGACTTGTACATATATTTTTTTCACCAATTGGGAAAGTTTTTCATCATTATTTTTTTTAAAAGTTGTTTGATTTCTTGCTCTCTCTCCTGCTTCCAGAACCCCTATCATGCAAATGTTGGTATTCTTGAGGTTGTTTCATAGAATTTTAAAATTACTTAAATAATTTATTTATTTTTGTTACAGATGATTCTCCTTTTTCCCCCATTGAAACACCCCTACCTCTCCTTCCCCGCCCTGTCCCCAGCTTTGTTGTCCATGTCCATTGGTTATGTGTACATGCATTTATATTCTGTGGTTTATCTCCCCCCCAACCCCCTCATCTGGGGATTGTCAGTCTGTACCCTACTTCCACATTTCTGAGGCTACCCTGTTCTTCAAACTGTTATGTTCATTATATTCCACAAAAAAGTAAGATCATAAGATACATCTCTTTCTCTGCTTGGCTTGCTTCACTTAGGATAATACTTTCCAGGTCCCTCCATGTTTTCTCAAAAAATAAGAGATCTTTCTGTCTTATAGCTGCATAGCACTCCATTGTGTATACGTACCACAGCATTTTTATCCATTCATCTACTGTTAGACACTTAGGCTGTTTCTAGATCTTAGCTATTGTAAATAGTGCTGCTATGAAAATAGGGGTACATGTATTCATTCTGACTGGTGTTTCAGGCTTCTTTGAAGTGGATCACTGGGTCAAATGGAAATTCAATTTTTAACTTTTTGAGGTAACATCATAGTAATTTTTTGAGGTAACATCATAGTGTTCTCCATAGTGGTGGCACCAGTCTGCATTCCCACCAGCAGTGTACTAGAGTCCCCTTTTCTCCACACCCTTGCCAACACTTGTCGTTCGATGATTTGTTGATGGCAGCCATTCTGATAGGTGTGAGGTGATACCTCATTGTTGTTTTAATTTGCATCTCTCTGATGATTAGTGATGTTGAGCATCACATTTCTTTATATGT